TTTTTTAAATTGAGTTTTCAGTATTTACGTTTATCCATCCTCGGGTTTACAACCACGTTCCATGGTCAGATCGTTTCATTTTATAGTCAGATTGTTCTACAGTTGCGGTGGAAAACCTTATGTGAAAGATGCTTTTTTGGCTTAAAGAACGAGGTATACACAGGAGCAATGCTCTAACTTCTGCTCGTGGCTGAAATACTGCTGAAAAGTTCTGACAACATTGTGGAACAATCTGGCTTGTAATGATTTGACCATGGAAGGCAGTGACTGCATACCAATCCATAATGTATCTAGATACTAAGAGCTCATAAAACTTACTGTGCCTTAAGTTGTGCAATGAAATTTGTGGCTTCTTTCCCCACACCTTAGTAAAATCTGGATGCCAAAGATAGTGACCTGTAGAAGTGTTTTTTAACATGTGAGAGTTTGAGCTCTCTATTAGAGCTTGATTTTCAAACCTGCATCTCTTAGACCCTCTCAGCTTAGGCAAAATGCCATTTGCAACATCCTGGTGTTGTTACCATTTAGCATTTTATCATGGCCTATTAACAGATGGACTATATTTCGCACTTGTACAGTTGCATGGTTTCTTTACTTTTTTTGAATTATCAAATATTATATTTTCTCTAGTGGAATGTGACACTACAGCCATAGGCAAAGATGGACAAAATATAACCAAATGCTTTAAAAATGTAACATGCCGCTACACGTAAGTAAACTTCTTTTGTACATGTTATCTACAACCTACAGTAATGTGTTGTCTGTGTAGAAAAATCCTTAAAACATGTACATTATAAACCTCAGTTCTTATTCAATTTATTAATTAATCTTAAGTATTATTTTGCATTATATTGCCCAAGATACATGTAAGCTTTAAGATGGGTATCAGATTCCGTTGAATTAACTGCTGAAGTATTCATGAAGGTTTATTTCTTGAAAGTCTTTGCAATTAGCAGGCCTGGAAAGTTCTTTTTTGTTTGCTGAATTTACAGTCAAGATGAAAGATTAATTCAATAGCATTGAACGTCCTGTTAGTTCTGTGTTGAACAGAATTAACTGGTTTGTCAGCTGCAGTGTAGGATCCACTCTACATTTTTGATGTTAAAATCTGGCTTTAGTAGGACCCAAAAGCTAAAGAAATGAGCCCCTGGTGCTAGCAATTGAAAGGAAAAATACTAGCCTTAACCTGAAAGAGACCCAAAAGCAACTATTCTTCTTAGTAACATGTTTTATCTTTAAATTATCTGCACAGCAATGGTCATTCTTATGAAACTGCGCTTTTGCTGTCAGTCTTTCTTGGAATGTTTGGAATCGATAGATTTTATCTGGGATATCCAGCAATAGGTAAGATGCATAGATGTGCACATACTTTGGCTGAAACTTGTACATCTTTTATGTGAACATAAAAAATAACTGTGAACATGAGAAATATTTTTGGAATGTTATTGTGTTGCATGGGAAAAGCCAATCTAAAGAATGAAAACAAAAACTGAACTGCAGGCAGCCATGGTAATATTAGTTTGAGGTTTTGCATAGTAGCTTGCGTCATTTTCCTGATCTCCAACTGAATTTGTCATAACACAATAAAACACAATAAGTTTTCCTAAAATACAGTATTTCAAGCTTTCGTGGTTCTCTGTGTTGACAAAAAAAGATGGAAATTCTTTTTCTCCTTTTTAATGAGGAATTATTTATTATTTAAATTGATAAGTGATCATTATTAATTTTCTGATATGTGAGGTGCCTTTCCTCTTAATTTTTAGGCCTGCTGAAGTTTTGTACTTTGGGCTTTTTCTTTGTATTTCATCTTGTAGACATTGTATTGATAGCGACTCAGGTGAGATACTACAGTTGATCATCATTAGAAATGACTTTCATAAATTAATAATGGGAACAGATGGCTTAAAAAAAAATTTGAAATGGAAATTTCACTTTCAGTCAAAGATGACCATTTTCCAATGGTAGCCTTAATCAAAGTACAGCATAACAATATTGTTGATTTGGTTGTCACTGACAATATTATGCTAAACCTTAACATGCAAAATACGAAACCAGGCACTTTGTATATTATATAATATTTAAAAGAACTGTGAGTGTCTCTGGTACCTTTTCAAAAACTATTAAAGCACAGCATGTGTTTACTGCTATTTATTCACAAAGACAATCTAAAGAAGCACCAAATTAATGCGATGCATTTGTTTGTTTAACAGGTTGTTGGGCCAGCGGATGGATCAGCATATGTCATTGATTACTATGGTCCTCGATTGACCCACATCGCAAAGGATATGGACACATATTTCAAACCACGAGAATGACATTACGTGCATCACTTCTGGCAACATTCTTATTGTACAGAAAAAATAATTGATAGTGAGATTTTCAGGTGCCAGCAGCAACGAACTGACGAAATCTTACTGTAGATGGTTGAAAGGAGTAATATTGACAAATTAACTCAAAGTCTTTGACGGGACTGGAGGATTACGAAAGGTGGTCAGGAAGGTCGCATACAGTGTCTGAAGCTGCAATGATCATTAGCAAATTACACAATTTTTAGTTTCTCCATTAAAAATTGGAAAATATTGGAAAAATAGTTATGCTCATTTGACAATGAAACTTCTTAACTGATCAAAATTCTGCAACTGAAGGTCTATTTAATGCATTGATTCTTTTTTGGGAGTCCATATTCTTGAAAAAAAACATTTTTTGTTTCTGACAGAAACAGTAATAACCGATTATTTCTTGTGAGTTTCGGGCAACGAATGTCCTTGAAATTAAGATTGTTTGGCGTACCAATTTATTTGTAAAATATAATTTGTAAGCAGTGCTGCAGCTGTACGTTGTAAATATTAACTGGAAGCTAGGTACATGTAGTGAAAATAATAAATTATAGTAGTTGTAAAAGAACTTGAAGTTTTTAGTTACGTTAGGTTGCGTTTATTTGGAGCACTAGAGACAGTGTGGAAAGTTAAACATCCTTATTATCAAATAGATTCCACTTTCCCGAGTGTTCAGCTACAAATTACAGTCTGCCTTGCTGTGATTACACCTTCCAATCTAGATACGCCTTGGTAGAAATTAGATTATTGTGCAGTGTCAAATAGTTAAATTGAAACCGAAGAAGCTTTAAAAATTACAGTTGACTCTGTTGTGTATATTATGTCTGACTGTTTTTTTGCTTTCATTTTTTATCCTTTTTTTTCTCGGTATTATTGCACCGTACACTTACACCCAATGCTTTATATCTCAAATGATGGTTTTTGCGGGAGCGATATGAAAAAATCGAATCAGGACGGAATCAAACAACTGAATAAGCGACCAATTGCAAGGGATCGCCTCCATATCTGGAACTCGAGTAATGGCTTACGTGTATTAAATCTTTAAAAAAATGTTTGGCTTGGTTTTTAATGTATTGTTCGTTTATATATAAACATTTCATCAAGAATTACGCCCTTGTACTCTAAATAATTCCATTCTTTTTTACCAGCGACAACTGTAATTATTTGACAAAACTTGTTTTATTGTTTTCTTTCTGCTTTCAGCCACATTTTGGCGCATTTTCACACTCTTTTACATTCCGCGCTTTTTGGTGAGTACAGCTCCGGTTTATGACACTCATTTCGAATTCAACTGAAGATTTGTGATTGCTCGGTCAGTTCTAAAGCGCTAGACTTATCAAAGATTTTCGTTTTAAATTGGGAGGGCTTTATGTCTAACGAAACTGCCACAAAAGTTTCCAATTTTTTCTCGGCGGCTTATTCCCCTACACGTGAATATTCAACAGCTAAGATAAAAAGAAAAGCTTCGTTTCCAACGCAACCAAGAACTTCCCAATTGCCGACGAAGGCCAGCGAAATGAAGTATTCGATGGTTACTGCTATTTCAAGTGGTTATATTGGCGTTTTACTGCCAATTTGCCTTCTTGCAATTTTTTTGTCGTGTGTTCTGTGCGTGTATCATTGGCAGGGAATAAGGGAAAGGAGATTGGACTTGGAGGAGGATCGGAAAAGATGTCAAAGAAAGAGAACTATGTCAGAGTTCGACAGTGGTTGCACTCTGAGGACCATTAAGCCAGTCAACAAGGTGAGACAATCAGTTTTCTTCAGTGCTGATTGATCCATCCATTTTCGCACAGTAAATCTTCTTGCTATATCATGACAGAACATTTTAAATAATGACTTAATACCAGTAAGAACCTTTCTGGCCTGCATCGCAGACAGTCCAAATCTCGAATGGCTCGTAGCAAGGAGTTGTTTAGGGAAGCTTTGGGACGGAAATAAATAGCTCTACTTTTCTTTGCTCCGGCTCCATCGATGTGACGCTACCCGCCCATATGCAACCTGTACGTCTTCATGATCATAATTATGATCTTGACAAAATTGACAGTAACTCCATTCGTTATGAGTCAACATCATCATCATCATTATCATCATCACCATCATTATGGTCATCATTATCAGCATCATAGTCATCAGCATTGTCACGTCCTGGTCATCTCAATCATCATCAAATTGTTTGTTTAAATCAAGAGCGGTGACTTCGACCAAGGTGCAGGACAAAAGACCTCTCTCTCTTTCTTCAACTATAATTGTTTCCTTTCAGAAACTAGGCAAAGCACGATCGTACCCATGGAAGACAACTAAGATTCAGGATCTTCATGACATCAACAACAATGAGGGTTTTATCATTCCAATAAGCCCTGGAATGAAACATGGGACAAGCCATTACGCTCGTAGAAGTTACCAGTCCTCCGCAGCGATGGCTCAAGCTACGGGGTGCTACGAGAGGCCCGTCCTGAAAAGGACCCCTATTCATGATAGAGCTGGTCGCACCACTAAAGGGGACCTTTCAAGCGAAGGTAATGAAATTTATAATAGGGGTACATGTGGTGAAAGACAATCATTTGTTTGCCGATACATCTGAGTTTCGGGGCAATTTGCTATCGGTGAAAAAAAGAAAGAAAAAAGAAAATGACGTCGCAGCCAAGGAAAGATACATACACTGGCTCAAATCCTAAAAGCACAGCGATATTTTAAACCTGAAGAAAAGCCCAGTTATAATCGAATCGCTTATTCCTTTTATTTTATTCTATCCTCTGCACATGCTAAACAGTGACGCTATTCCGAAAAGAGGAGTTAATGTTTTCGATTTGGTTTCATTGCTTTGTCAAAATTGATCAATCTTTTAAATTTTAGAGCCGTCTATCCCTTCTGTCCCGGATGTAAGCTTAAACCTGTCAGCAGCAGATACGACAATCGAGAGCTGCTTGGTGATTTCCTCTCCAATCCTGAAAGAATACCCTGCTTTGAAGAATGACGTTGTTGATGACGTCAAACAGAAAAATTCGGTCCATGTGACACGTCAAGGTGACGACGGACAAGTTGTTACCGTGGAGACGATACACGGTCAATTGCTGGAGTATTGGGTGTAGATTTTGAGTGTAATATTTGTTCTTTGAGAGTGTATATAAATCTAAGTGTGCTGCTAGATCATTGGTACATGAAACGTGTCACAACATATATTCATCAACTGATACTCGAGTTTAAAATTACTAACATTAACTAAAATGAATTAAAGGAGATGAAAAGTCTACCGTTGCCCTTTTATTTATTAGCCCCCTCTCGTTTAAAAGGCTGTTCTTGGCCACAGGAATGTGAGGAAAGCGGTACCTTTTGATCGTTTCGACATTTTACCTTTTGAAACGCGAAATGGTTTTTGAGGAAGTCAGTGGGACAATGGGCGGATTGATGCTTACGGGCACTCTTCTTCTCGCTTCCCGCCGTTTTTCCTCTTTCGGTATTTCTTTCCTCGCTCGCTTTTTTCTCTCGTCCGCACTGTCTGAAAACACCTGGCACAGGCGACCTTATCCGACACACCGGTGTATATGGGTATGAGATTAGGTGGGGAAAGGCTGATGGTCTGAAAATAACAGATGGGCGCCCCCAGCCCAACCCCCCCCCCCCCCGGATTCCTTTTCCTAGATCCGCCTCATAAATAGCGCCAGGTGAAAGGCTGATTCTCAAGCAGGATTTATTGCCCGGCTTTGCCGATGGTTCGTCGTAAATTCAGCTGCCCTAAATTGAACACATTGAAAGAACACAGTAAGAGCGAAGTTTGTCGGTCAGCTCACTTTGGAAGCCGTTATGTTACTGAACCATTATATCATGCTTAATACTCTTTCTGGCCACAACTCGACGCTATGAAGAGCTATAAAGCCGTTTACGAACTTTACTACCCAGACAGTTAAACCAGGTCTAGAATATTTTTATGATGAAGGAAAATCATAGTACAGTCGAACCATGCATTATGAACGACCACCTCTCGTAAGTGACCATTTCGCATAAGCGAGCACTTGCAAAACACCAAATATTTTCCCAGTCAAAGCCTTAAAGTTGGAATAAGCGACCGCCACTGTCTAAGTTACGTTCATAAAAAAACCTCTTTTTAGCAAACATCTGATATAATGGTCTAATCTCTGTGTTCGTGTACTACACAACGTGGATTTACCTACATTGTAACCCCAAGAAACTGTACGTATATTCTCTCCAAAAAGTAGATGGGTTCGCCTCTCCTAGAAAAAGACCTCCTGCAGTTCGACTCTCCCGTAGGCGACCACTAACCCCTAGCACATGTTGCACTTGTTGGGCAGGCTGTTTGGTGGTCGTGTACAGGAGGTTCGACTCCGAATTGCCTGTGCCGATCGGGGGAGATCCTGATATTACGTGGCAGTTTAATTCGTGACTTACAGTCACCATGTGCGGTTTGACTAGCTTGGCGTGTATGGAAGTCCATTGACATCATCTTGGGAAATTGTTGATAAATACTGAAGGCGAATTTCTTGAGTCGTATCTTCTTGGGAAAGCAAGCTACCTTCAAGGAGGGGCTTAAAAAAGCACAGATATAATAAAGTGTAAATAGCAATTAGATTATTGTATCGCAAAATGTAACAATGGAAATATTGTAAATAGAAAATTGTAGATAGAAACCTGTGAACAGTCATTTGTAAATATTTTAGTGCAAAGTCAGCCGGCTGAATGATTTTAGTACCTTTTCGTTATTGCTTCTTATTCAGTTTGAGTTATGTTATACGCGACCACATCAGCTGCGAGGTAAAAATTATCGTGCTTTTAATAAAAAAATGTTGTTGTTGTTGTTGTTGTTGAAGTTCCGGGTCCAGTCCTTTCCAGATAAAGAGGCCAGGTTGCATAGACTCAAAACACGTTATTGTTGTCTGCTTGAAGAAAGTGAAATAGTTTTACAGCAGTTCCTTTTACAACAATGAGCCCAAGAATAGCACACTGATTTTTAGAATCAGAAGATGCCTGGTAGAGGAAGGAGTAGGCGGGTCATAACATCGAAAGATTACCAGGAGCCGCTGCGAAGACCAGGTGAAACGCGAGAGACAACGTCTACAGCGCAAGATGGCGCGAAAGACTCTTCTTCCGCTCTGAGCGAAAGTGAAAAGGGTGAGAAAACGCTTTATTATTTTCCCAGTTAAATTTAGAGATATGATTAAACATATATAAGCAAATCCTTTATGGCACAAGGTTAAAGGCTGCTATTCACTGCCTCAATCTCGATCTTCTTATTATACAATTCGGATCTTTCATCTTCCTTGACTTAATAATTTTGCATGCCAATTGAAGTGTAGGGACCGTTTTCTCGTTAGGATCTTATATCATGTTCGAATTTGAATTTTATCCAGATCAAACAGTTGCAGAATATAAGCTTAAGCTTATAATTATACAAATAAGATTAAGTCAACAGGTGATATTAAACTTTGCTTTTGTTTCTTAAATTAAAGAAATAGTTTTAATGAGAGTGTAACGTGGTATGATGCAGTGCTGTGTGTGAATACTTGCGTTCAAACAGTTAGGAACTTCAGAATGCCTGGCCACTTGTCTAAACGCTGCATGAGGAACACACAATAGCTTCTTTTGTCATTCAAGGAGATTTAAATATTAAGTGGCTGGGTATTCTGAAGTTTAGCCTATGTATTATAAAGAACCATACTGTGCAAGTTTCTTTTACATTCTGCCAGAACTTTTTGTACCGTTATTTGAAATAGTTAATGATCCACCTTTGGAGGAACCAGCCCATGATAAACAAGCTGAAGATACTGGGACAAGCCAAGATTCAGAGGAAAAACTATTGAAAGCCAGTGAGCAAAAGGAGTCAGAGGAGAGTGATGTCTCACCTCAAAAGACAGAAATTGTTAATACTACTTTGTCTGAAGGCAAGGAGGAAAGTATTGTAAACACTTCTACAAAAATTGAGAAGAACGATGAAAAGGCTGCAGAACCAGCTGAAGTGAAAAGTGGTGTTTTAAAAACAACAACTGGACAACAAGCAGATAAGATAACTAAGTTATCACCACTTGCGGCAGAGTTTGTTCCAAAAACTGGTTACAATCTACAGTCTCTAGTAGAAGCACCAGAATTTGTTCCAAAGTCATTCTCTCAACAAGGCCAGAGACCTCCAATGCTCCGACAGCTGAGCGATAAACCTGAGAATGAGTTGATGAACTGTGTGAAAGATGTGTTGTTTGGTCTAACGCAAACTCCTGGCGAATTGGATTCTTATGTGGAGACTTTGGTGAAGATGTTGCAAAAGTGGCTGAGTTCTCTTGATTCCTTGCAGGAAATTGTGGATCTCATCTTTGATTATGTAGGTATAATTTTAACAGTGGTTCCACTGAGTATTTATTTTGCTGGCAGTGCTAACCCTTTTAAACCAAAAATCTGCATTAGTATTTTTTGCACGGTACTCCATATTGACCCCCCCCCCCTCCCCCACTTCTCCTGGCCTGCCCATCACAATTCAAATATGGCAAGCATTGTTGAACTAATTTCACTAGCTGTGGAAACCATTTCTCTCCAAGTTAACTGAGACTGTTTCTTTTCTTAGTCAATAACAGAACCTAATTTCCAGTACATGGCAGCCAAACTGTGTAACTTATTATCAGAAAAGGACAAGAACATTGTAACTAAATATGGTGAAAATTTTCGAAGTGTGTTTCTCAACAGGTACTATAGTGCATATAGTAACAATTCTGGATTCTTCATTCTTAGGGCTTCCACTTAGATGACCCCAGTAAAGACAGATTTAAAACAACCAACCTTGCTTAAGAATTCTATCTCAGCTCTGTTTTCAGTCATGAACATACTTGCAAATGGACCTTGTTCATTAATGTCAGCTGAAAATGTATATTTAGCTTAGCAGAAAGTTAATGCCAGCTCCAGGAAGATCTCCTTTTGGTGATCGCTCCTGGAGGTAATGTGGAAGGCACTTTACATGCCCTTGGTCATAGCACTGTCTGTTGATTTTCCAGCCTAGTTTGTCCTTTTACTCACTTCAGGTAGCTTCTTTCAACTTCTCAAGATTTCTTGTCATGTTTTGTTTTCCAGATGTAAAGATGAACATATAAAGCGAGTGGCAACCCTGCAAAATACAGCTACTAAAGCACTTCTTCTTGGCTTTGCAATGTTTGAGGCTGAGCTCTTTTGTAACTACAGAGTAAGGTTTTTTTTCTATTTTTTACTTTTATGCATTTTAATACAAAAATGAGTTAACAACTAAGAGCAGCTTTAGTGCTAGTCGCCTGCATTCAGGCGGTATGTGTATGCCCAGTTGTTCACTAACATCTTTCACGTGATTGAATAACATGTGGAGTTTCCTTTGTAAAGTGTTTTTTTTTACGGAGGTTTTTTTCACCGTCTTCTTTCCCTGTTCTCTCTCCATTTATAATTTTTTTTCAGTGTGATGGGTAAATTTTGAATGATTACATGTATAGCCCTTAGGTGAGAGTCACCCATTAAAAGTGTTTCACAGAGGGCTGATAGAAATGCTGAACACCCTTCTACAAAACCATTCAGAGGATTGCCTGAAATGTATTGGAAAGATGTTAAAGGTAAAGAAGTTGTTTGATTAAAACTAGTTTGCACTTTGATGATAATTATTGGTAAGTCTGCAATTAAATTTTTGAAATCAAATCAAAGTGTTCACTGGTTTTTTACTCTCCTAAATGTCTCAAAGTTTCTTGGGCTTTGAAAATTACTCAGTCATTCTGGTAGCCTGAGAAAACAGCCAACATTCCGTGACACCACCACTGGTTTCCCAACGAAATGACATCTAAGAAACAAGTGCAGAAATTCCATACTGATGACCCATCACTACCCAGATCTGGGTAGTGCTTCTGATTGGTTGAAGCAAATTTAACTTGCAGCAGTTGACCTATTAGAAGCACTTCCAAGATCTGGGTAGTGACACATCATCAGTATGGAATTTCTAAGATCGTTTCTCAGATGTCGTTTTGCGGGAAAACCAGTTGTGGCATCACGAAATGCCGGCAGTTTTATCAGGCTATCACTCTGGAGAATTTCAATCGTGAACACTTTTCTTTTAGCTACAAAGATGCGTTTTTAATTTGTCCTTACCTTTGGATGTAAGTTGTAATGTGAAAAATGTTGTGATGTATTCTCTTAATAGTAACATTTGCTGAACATTTTTTAGATGACGGGCTTTCTTCTGGATGATCCTCAATTTTTTGATGAGAAAGACCGCAAAGAAAAAGTTGATAAAGTTTTCAACGATGTCAACAACCTGTCAAAAGACTCTAGTCTGTCAGAAAGGTAATCATACTCCTTGTTCAGTTTGACATCAGTCTTCCAGTCTTTAAGTATGAATTAATTTTTTTAGTGGTTGCTGTTTCACTGTTGCAAGGAATGAATTTCTGAGTGAGTTGGGGTGGGGAAGATAGGGAAGGGGGGCTGGGGATGAAAGTCATAAAGCCATGGTATTGTTTGATTATCTAAGGCAAAACTGTTAATTTTATGGTGTGTATGAAACTATTGGATATCAAGAGGATGTTAAAGGGGCTATGACTTGTCACAAGGACATAGCTGTTTTAGAGTAATTCCGTGCTTAATTCATCACTCAGTGCCTTTAGTCATTATTATACAAAACGCTCCTCGAAAGTTATGATGAAATTTTTATCGGGGAGCACTGTAAACCATAATATTTGTTTTGGTGATTTTTGCTGGCATAGCATTAAAAAGTGAAAACCTTGGCCCAACTTTTTCAAGTTTCAACTGCATGTGCATCCTTGTCATCTGTTGCAACAGATAGAAAACAGTTTTGGTGCCTACAATATAGTCTTGAGAAACAAAACTGGACATTATTTCTGGAATTCAATTGAGCTTCTTAAAAAGAGAGCAAATAGCTTGGCATAGCCTCTTTAAGTTGCATGGCTGGTAAGTATTTTTTTTTTCTGGTGTCTTGGCAGTGTCAGAGAATTATTGTCAAAAGTGATGGAACTAAGAGCTTCCAACTGGGGGAGCGGGACGAGTGAGGGAGCTGTTGGAAATTACCCTGTTTATCGTTCAGATGATGGATATTACTATTCTGATTATCCCCTGGGCATGGTAAGTTCTTTATAACAGATTTGTCACAAGTAACCTTAAAAAAGTGGGGTATTTTTTGTGCTGCAGTTTTGTTTTACCTTTATTCTGTTCTTTGTCAATGGTAATTTCTGATTATAAGTCAGGATAAAAATAAAAAAATAATTAGACCAAAGGGAAAAAAAGTTAGATATGAAAATTATTTCTGTTTGTCATGCAAATGACACTAATATTCTAATGAAAGATTTTCCAGTGGATCTCATTTTGCATTGGTGGGTTTTGGAAACTCGGAAATAGCCTGTTTAATTATAGGTTGTCCACAGTTGTTTTTAACGAATCTCACGCCTTTGTGCAAGTGGTCAATAGCCCCCTTCCCTCCCCCCAACTCCACAGTTTTCATTTTCATACCACACTTAACGATCTCTGAAGAGAGCTAGAGGGCCTGTGAAAGGACTAGTTAAGTTTTAATACTGCCTTTTGATGTTTTAGGATGAATTAAGCTTACAAGATGACTTGACTCCTGTGACAAACCCAGGTGAGAAAGAATTGAAAAGAACATATGTTAATTTCAAAGTGCATCAGCTTGGTACCAATGGAAAAACCTTATTACAGAGAATTCATTGCATTAATCGGTCAACTGACTTGCGAACCCTGGTCTTTCATGGACAGTTTTTTCATTGAAGATGCGTTATGTGTCGTTGATTGAGCCCGATTACATTAATCTGTTTTCTTCGTCAAAAATGGTGACTCCGAGCCGGAAATATACCGTTCCAAGGAAGAGAGAAAAACTGCTACTGCTCCGCCGGGCATTGAATAATTTTCAAATGTATGGTGTGTCGTTCAGCATTCATGAAGACCCCTCAAGTAAACAGGATGATGTGAGTTTCCAGTTATGTGTGAAAGTCATATCAGCACAATATCGTGTCTGTATTACCTGGACACGCCCTAAAGGGGACCTTGTTCAGAGGCATCCTGTTTAGGTTTGTTCTCTTATACAGATCAATGGAGCGACTATTATGATGATGTAGATGAACCATCTCGGATGCAGGAGACATATAAGTACTACTTTCCAGACCAGTATAATGATGATGATGAATACTACGTGTAAGTGGTAAAAATTCTTGTCCTATGTGAAATGTTGGCTAATTTTTTAGTACCAGCTTCATCGGTATACCTTGTTTTATAGCCCTCGTTTGTGTTCAAAAACTCCGGCCAGTGCTCAGAAATTCGTGAATCTGAATCTCTGTTTTGCACAGAGACCTCTTTGCACCTCTGGGAGGCTTGTGCGGGAAATCGAAAACCGTGGGGGACGTATGATGGTAGAAACTCTGTGTTAAAATCTTACTTCATTACTACCCTCTGCACAGTGCGCAAAGCGCGAATGAAAACACAACGACATATATGGAGTGTGACTCTTGCTGGGAGCCTGATGGACACAATGGACCAGTGCGTGCTTTATTGACAAGATATCTTCGCAATACAGTTCAACAATACAAATGATCTTAAAAGTAATATAAAAAAATTACGGAAATAATATAATTTCTACATAAACGAACATTTAAATAATATGGAACGTGACAGAAAGTAGAATCACTACCCGGTACGAAAACCCGGAATAAAAAACCCATTGGGGCAAAAAAAAACCGGGAACGTACTCCTCGATCGAATGCAGTGTATCGAGCTCCGAGGATTAGAGCTTTGGACTAACTTAGGAACTAATAATAAGTTTGGTCACCGACAACGGCTGTCCAAAAGGCGAGATAGCCAAAAACGCTTCTACGTCGACAGTTATACAAATACTCCTAATGTATAATGAAATGTACACAGGCAAAAAATTTCCGGGTTCCAGAATCTGGAATACCTTACAGAGAGATCCGTAAAATTTTGATTGATTGAGTTCTTTGCTTATTTCCTTTTTGTTTTCAGTCCTGAGGATGATAGTGAATATTATGTTGAAGAGGATCCTGAATTTGATGATGAAATAAATGAAGAATTCGAAAAGTTTTTACAAGAACAAGAAGGCTTATTCAACTGAAATTGTGAGAGCATCATTGTCCACATTCTAAGCATTAATTGACAGTAATGTTGCGGTAATAAAGGAGTAAAGCACGTGCTTTTCAACCTGAAGAATGATGGACTTAAGTCTCAGACTAGGTTTGCTGTGTTTTGTTGCGAGCCCTGTTGCACCCAGAGTAGATCAGTTATATATGAGATGTGTAATATAATTTAAACTTTTGATTCCACGGCGGAAATCCTTAGGTGTGACCAAAATTTCTCTTTCAGTGCTTTTAGGCGTGTTGTTTATAGTTCTAAGTATTGAGACTGTGGTTGAAATCCTCAGGTAGTTTAAGGTATGAGCATTTAAATGACGTCTCTTCAGGAGCACTTTCACTTGGTACTATTTGTTTTGCTGTTTTTTTTTTTTTTTCAATATTTTACAACATGAAACTCTAATTTTTCTTGAATTGTGAATGAAAGTCTTAAAAGATTGCCATATTTGGCGCTAAACTAGATGTATTAAGACAACGACGATTTCAAATCTAGGCTTATTACTGGTGTGTGAGTAAAGACGGAGATTAAAGTGTGCCAGCTCAGTTTTCAACTTCATGGAAATAAACTTTTTCTTTGACACTTGTTAAAATTAGTGTCCATGAATTAGCAAAAACTAGATCTTACAGACGCATATGTTGTCCCGTAATTTGTTGTGCACAAAAGCCAATATTACATGCGTAGTCAATAAAAAATTTTCGAAGCATCGCTAAATGTGTTCATTACTTTAGTTTGCTATGCTTAATAATGTGCGAGAGTTAAACAAAGCGGTCGGAAGCATGAATTAGCTGCTCCCACCGGCTTGCCGGCATTGATCAATAATTTATTGTTCATAATTTAACCTGCTGTAAGTTTCTTGTAAATATGGACACCTGCAGTTGGGGTTTTTACAGCTCGAAACAGACGTGTTGTGCGTATTTATTTAGTGAATGTTTTCAAAACAGAACCAAAAACGTTGCTTGATTTTGAGGTAAATATACACCATTTGTCATGGTAGAGATGTTCATCTTGTTGGTTGGCAAATCCTCGTCGGTTTTTGTCCTTTTTATTTCTGATTCGGTGTTTCCCAATTACCCCGTAATTTGCCGAGTTCTGTATAAGATAGGGATTGTTTATAATTTCCCGTCGTCGTCTAGAACTTTTGCAACGTGTGGCGATCCTACTGCTGACAGCAAAAAAACAATAGAAAACAAAGTAGTATCGACTGTTTTGAAATGCCATTATGGCGAATTTTTCTTGAAGTTAAGTTAAGTCAATTAGTTAAGTTAAAGTCAACTCCTTAAAATACCTTAAGGAAAGGTATTGTTACTATGCAGTTATTATATCAGTCATTTAGTGAAAATGTAAGTTTATTTATTTTTCATGACAAAACAGCTCAAAACTGTTTTACATGTGCGCTTATAACCGTGACTTTTGCCTTGCTCCATACTTGTTCCAGAGCCCAAGAAAGGAAAATTGTGCTTTGAATTCTTAAATCTCCAGATAATCATCCATTTTAATTTGCAGAGTTGCTCCGAGAAGGAGCTAGAACGCATGCAGTCAGAAATGAATGCTGAATGCTGAAAGTGCGCTTAATGTTTTTAGTAAGATCGGAAGTTTTGGAAGTACCAGCCGTGGATCATTAGGAAACCCTTTATCAGAATATAGGGAGAAAAAAGGGGGAAAAAAAAGGAAGAAATACTGTAGGAAAGGATGTAAAGGCATGGGCCGGGAAGGGTAAAAAAAATTGTCCTCTTTGCGTGTTCACAGAGGACAAACTGATTACTTATTACTAGACGTGTTTACTTTAGTTCGAGAGAGTGTATACATTGGTCAATATCACAGAATTCTTTCCTAACCACGGAAGACTCGGCGTTTAACGAAAGAATCTTATCCCATTCAGTAGACGTGAATTCACCACTTACGTCCACGAAGCCAGTGGAGACATGTTCATAACAGTGAAGTACGGAGGTAAGGCTTCCATTTTTTGTCCTGAGTCTTGTGTTATGAATTGTTATTGACTACGCCAGTTAGAAACGCAAGTAAAGTTATTTCTCGTCGACAACTGCGTTTTTGAGTGTAGTCGTAGTTTGATGCCTGGTAACGATAAATACGTTGGTTTCCCTAGCCGGTTGTACAGAGAGAGGTCTTGAGATTGCGGGACGTTCTCGCGTTATTTCCATGAACTATTTGAGCATGCATTCAATATATTGTCGTAAAGACAGTCGAAATTCCGTTACTAATTAAGCAGAATGGCGGATTCGAAACTTAATAATCGGATAAGTTAATCAATGTACTACTACGATTGATTAACCAATAATGGGCGGAATAAACCGAGGAAGCATTTTGAAACCGGATCTCTTAGGGGGGCCCTGAGATACCCACAACTTGAAGGCTTCCTGAACTTCAACTGATACAACTGGAGCAGATGGCCTATACAGCATTGTCCATATAGTGTCGGTGGCTGTACGTGTATTTATGGATTAACAACAGTTTTACGCGTCGACTTTCTCACAAAAATAAACTATACGCTTGGTATACTATACGATGGCAGTAGGAGTTGGTCTTACGGGGTGCCTCGGCGATTGATTAGATGGCAAGGTACTCGTAGGATCTGTATGTGGATGAGAATTCTATTCTTAGTTTGATCGATACATTTTCTTACTGTTTATTGTTTACTTAATCTAGATCACGAAGAGGCCCTTTTCAATCCTAATTGCCGCATTCTTCATTTGTTAGAAGACATTAGAAGGCGATGCAACTGTCCAGAAAACGGTTTGTTTTCTGATTATTGGTTAACGAACGCAAAGAGAGTTAGAGTCTGAACAGTTTTTTTTTCAATTTAGCGTGTGTCAACTTCTTTATAATGGTGTTTTTACAATAGTTCTTTCCATTCTTTTTTCTTTGTAGTTGTTATCGACTTGTCGGATCTGCGAGGCGCGGTCAAAAATCTCACTGATCACCTGTCTTCCAACGGCAATGAATTCCTCAACGAAAGGGAAACATTCATACTGGTGCGAGTTGAAAGTAAGACATGTATTTTCGAATTTGATCAAGAAGATGTTTGCATTTCTTAAGTGATTATTCAGTAATATTACTATAATCTTGAGGAAACTGTGTTCGTTAGCTTTATCATTTGGAATAGTGCGTCTTTTTTACTAGTTTCTGATATTTTTTTACCCAAATGTCAGTACTGACCAGTCAACAAAGTTTATGTCAGCAGTAGCATTGTATTCATATAAAAAGCAAAGGCAAAGAATGATAGATAATAATGATAGACTTTAGCGAAATAGTATGGAACCGTTTGTTCGTGAGGTTTGAGGTAGTTGTTATAATAGTTAATATCTATCCCAGACTTTACTTAAAATGCAGGGGTGGATCTAGGATTTTATTTAGGAGGGGGTGCACTCGTCTCTTGCTCTTCTTCAACACCAATAAACCACATAGTTTTTTTTGCAGAAAACCAGTTGTATTAGAAAACCGCAGGTCATCTCCTGGGGGGGGGGGTGCGCACCCCCTGCACCCTCCCCCTAGATCCGCCCCTGAAATGATCATTACTGCCCCCCTTCTTTTTCCAGAAAACCCAACAGAAGAGCGCGACTTTCCATTGTACACACCTCTCCTAGATGATGAGGACTTACTGACAACAGATTTCTTAGGTAAGCAAAAGCAAATCTTTGATGACGTCATTGCTTTTTTGTTGTTTTAATTTAACAACTTTTATTAATTCTTCACTTAAATAATGAATACAAAAACTAAAAATTACTTAAAACTGCTACACAGCCACAAAACACAAAATATCCAAACATAGTGACGTCATTGTTGACATTTAGTTTCTTGAGCGTGCAGAAATCACCTGGCAAATGAGCCCATACCCTTTTAAAATTAAATAATTCAAAATTTTAAATAAGGTTTCGAGAGAGTATTATGTTACCTCAGTAGTGGTTGCAAAAGCGAGAGCATTAAACAGTTACGATTTACCGTATATTGTTTATCTTTTATAGTAGTCACAGGTAATATCCACTTGTTTTGGAACAACCGTTTTGCATTTATTGCAGAAAGTTTACGACGGACGCCCACAGACACATTGGAAATAAGCGGCAGAACCTCTCGTGGCATGCGTCGAAGTAGCATGAAACCAGGTGTCAAGCATAAAATATCCGCGAATTCAGAAAAACTCAGTCCAACGGGAAATAATAGCAATGGAAATAAACTTCCAGCAAGTAGACGAAAATCAAGCTCTAATCGGAGGAGTTAGATTAATTCCGTATTTATGCATCCTTCTGGATTGCTTTTGTGTCACACGACATCTAACAACAAAACTGTTTCCCGCCAAAAAACCCCAAGGGGCAGTATTACAAAAGCTATGACGTCAGAGATAAACTTCGATTCGAAAACGTTTGCCACCATTAATCAGTCCTTTTAAGTTTTTGCGACGAAGATTATATGGCCTGGTTAGATATGAATGCTTTTGTATAACAACCTCCTTGTGCATATACGCTGGAATTTGTCGTCTCGCATTGTTAGTTGCTTTACATTGTAAACGGAAATAACATACATTTATTTGGTTTTACTTATTTATTAATTAAGAGTTCTTGTATATTAACTTGACTTCGTTGTTAAATTAAACCTTTTGTATTCACACAAAGACAAAGGTGTTTAGGAAATTAAAGAGAGACTACAAGAACAACGAATACTTAACCTCAAAGACGGTCACTGTAAAAGTAAATTGATTATAATCATTCCACCCAGATCTCTTGAGATAGGCGATGCCACCTCCTTCAGCTAACTTAGCAGTATATAGTGAACTTTAAATCATTTGGTTCAATTTGACGTCGAAAAATATAGGATAAAAATGTGCCTTTCTCGTACAAAAGCACAGTGTACCCGTGAATCAGTGATAACGCATTTACATTTGACGAATTTACGCTATTAACAGATGAAGGTTAAAGATATTTCTCAGTAGTTTCTCATGGAACACATAAACGCTCAGATAACGGCCGGTCTTAATTTTATTGACAGTGGTTAAACCCAGTAATATACGACTGTGGTTCTCTCTCCCACTGACTTACATACCTTTTATAACACAAATTTATCAGGTGACACAAATGACAAAAATCAATCTTTATTAAAAGGATTGACATCGGTTTTATTTCCATCATAGAAACCATGGCCACTCCAAAGAAGTCATTTTACAAACACTAAAAACCCACTTTGACCAGCCGCAGGTAATTGACGTAAAACAAAAGAAGAAAATAATTAACTGTCAGTAAAAAAAATAGCTTCGGATATTAAATTTGAAGGCTTTGTCTCCAAAGAAGTATCGGGATTTGAACGCAGGGAGTTTTAAAACAAATTATAACAGACAAAATAATGCTCTTAACACCTCATTAGAGAAGAGTAAGCATGTTTTGGGATTGGTAGCTTTTGTATGTTAGGACAAGTCCGCTAAAAATGATATTTTTATATCACTGTGTAATAACGGTGTTGATAAGCCTTCTATTATTGTTGTCAACAAACAAATTATATACATGTTTAGGTCTTGCTGGACCATGAAATTTACTGCAAGTCAATAAGCTCTTTGGGATAAATGTTTTGTTTTGACTTTCAGAAACCGTTTACGCTTGGTCACTTGTGTGAAATAATAACTTAATTATTGGAGTACATGCACACGAGGAGGTATTCGACCCGGGCGCTTAATCGGAACAAAATGTTCGTTAAAATCTGTGTATATTTTTTAAACTTAACGAAATATAATATCTGTTAGATAACTTATTACTCGGTCATGTAGATATTTCATGGTTTTGGGCGTTTTCTTAGGCATATTTAATCCATTTTTTGAAAACAGATTATTTCTTTCCTTCGCGTGTTGTATGCTTCTTCGGCTGGCTTTGTTTAGTGAGATTGATTGTATAAGTTTATTTTATTTGCAATTTAAAAATAACCCCTCAGTTGCTTNGTTTAGGTCTTGCTGGACCATGAAATTTACTGCAAGTCAATAAGCTCTTTGGGATAAATGTTTTGTTTTGACTTTCAGAAACCGTTTACGCTTGGTCACTTGTGTGAAATAATAACTTAATTATTGGAGTACATGCACACGAGGAGGTATTCGACCCGGGCGCTTAATCGGAACAAAATGTTCGTTAAAATCTGTGTATATTTTTTAAACTTAACGAAATATAATATCTGTTAGATAACTTATTACTCGGTCATGTAGATATTTCATGGTTTTGGGCGTTTTCTTAGGCATATTTAATCCATTTTTTGAAAACAGATTATTTCTTTCCTTCGCGTGTTGTATGCTTCTTCGGCTGGCTTTGTTTAGTGAGATTGATTGTATAAGTTTATTTTATTTGCAATTTAAAAATAACCCCTCAGTTGCTTCAGTCAATAAAAACGTAGATTTCGTGCATCTTGTTTACATAAGGCTAAAACTTGTTATTGCTTTCGACCACATGCACAAAACTGCATTTTAATAACCTAGAATCCAATCTGGCGTACATTTGAACAGGTTCGTTCGATATATAAACTCTAAATGTCGGTCTCTTTTAACGCGGAAATATAGGCTAGAAGCTTTTTATCTATATTGGTTACTTCAACCCAACTGTTTATGACTGCATCGTTTTCGAAATCATGAGCTAACAGTTGTGTTGTTAGATTATCTTTCAAATCTAAGGCGTTCAAGTCAAGTTTTCTACCATAATCGTCCGCGCCACGCTGTGGTGTGGTTTCATCATAAGAAGGCTTCTTCGGATCTTCTAGTGAGTTTCGGTCTTTAAAACCTCGCGCAGTTATAGGTTTCCCTTCCTTTCTTCTTTCATTCATTAATAACTCTTGTTCTTCTTCCCGCTGTTCAAGTACAGGTGATCTTGCGGGCAACTTAAGAAAGTCTTTTGTCGTTGCCGGGGACACGTTAACGTCAAGGTCTTCGATTTCGAAAAAATCGTTCTTGGAACTTCCTTGTTCGTTGCAGTTATGATCTTGTGAATTGAGAGATGTACTGAGTGTCGCATTTCCGTTAGGTACAAAATCTTGAATTATGTCCGACCCTTTTTTAAGATCCTTTTTTCCTTTCCTTCTCGGATCTTTCCTTTTTCCAAATGACGCAAGGGAGGGTGTACTGGATTTTCGACCTTTTTCCGCCGCATCGCTGGATGAGTCTTCCTCGTTTGCGTGCTTGTACACTGCTAACCTAAACTTGCCACTTCTGTTTAAAGGATTAGGCGTTCTTTTCGCTGAGTAAACATCAGAATCACTTTTACGGCAGTCACACTCAAAGAAGCCTTTGAACACTTTTTTAAATTCCTTGTTCAGTGTCCCGTAAGCAATAGGATTCAACGCACTATTCGCCATAGGAAACACGTTGGAGAATCGAAGGACATAAATACTATATTTGGAACTTTTCAAGTTGCCATAAGTGAACCACAAGAAGTTAATATGCTGTGGTAGCATACAGATTGCGTATAGAACTACGAGGGCGATGAGCATGTTAGTTATTTTAGAAGTCTGCTTCATTCTTTGCCTCACTGCATTTGCAATTGCTTGAGAACTTTTAGGAAGCAAGTGTATCGCGTTGTTCTGGCGAATTTTAATGGCGATCAAAACAGCTAAAACGGCTATAATTGTCAAAGGTAGAAAGTACTGAATCACAAATATAAAGTTCCAATAGATTTCCATGTAAATTGGTGCTGGCCAAGTTTCGTCGCAGTAGACCTTGCCCGGCGAAGGCCGTATCTCTCCCGCGACGAAAATCAGCGGAAAGCAGATCACAAGCGAGCTGCTCCAAATAGTGGCTAAAATAATCTTGACCATCTTGCCGCTTAATCGTGGTTTCATTGGATAAGCGATTGCTCTATACCTGTCGCAGGTTATGGCCAACAGTGTCCCAATCGATGCACACAAACATAGAGGAACAAGAATGTACACAAAGAGACACATGAAATTTCCCACTGCCCAGTTGTGATCGTTCTCGAACGCAGCCATCTGCGTCGGCAGATAAATCACCACGTTGAGCAAGTCACAGAGCGCGAGATTGAAGGTAAAGATGTTGTTGCTGGTCCGCATTCGCTTACGTCGGATCACTGCGGCGCATACTACAGAATTACCAATGACTCCGACGATGAAAACCACGACGAAAATCAACCTGAGAGTCCATCTCATTGGCGGAGGCTCGATAAAGTTGCCATTTTCGGTCGGTACGATCGTATCATTTCTGTTGTTCATGCTGAGGTTAAGAACGCTATCTACCAAGTACACGTTATCACTCTATCTGCGCTTTAAATGATGCTTTTTTGCTCATAGCCTGGGGTATCACTCAGAAGTTATGACCCGTAAAATTGTTGCTGTGAATTGAATTTGGCTTTTCCTTGAAGAAATCGTGTGATTTAATGAAGAAGTTGGTTACTTCTTGGCTCGTTCCATTGGCAACACATCATCTTTAGCTGGTCACTTAAGCATCACTTTACCTGAAATTAAAAACACTTTTTAAATGATTCAACCACATAATAAATGAATGATAGCAGTGTTTATCTTAGCTCCCAGTTCGGAAAGCTCTGATATGTAAATGCGTAAACTACTAGCAAATCTAAAAGATAAAGAAACGTTGATAACTCTAATTATCAATGCCATGTTATACCAATCACCTTTGGCTGATTCTGTTCTGGAAATATGAAGTATTTGTGCAAGACACCCAGTTCTATTTACAAGTATGGAGAGCTTCAATTGAAAATCGATTGTCTTTCGAAGATTAAACAGCCTTTGAGCAAACACTAATCTCGTTTTGCATGTGAGACCTTTTCCCACTGTTTCGTTGTGTTTCTCACCAAGCATTTGCTCTGTTTCGACAATTCGTTTTTAAACATCACAGCGGATTAAAGCGCATTTGTGTACTCTTTTTGTTTGTTTCTCGGTTCACGTAAAACATCACCTTGTCATGCAACGAAAGAATTTGTAAGGCTGATTGAGGTGCAGGAGATTTTAATTAAACAAAGCTCATAAATAAAGATTAATTCCAAGTGCAGTCAGAGCCCGAAGAATAAACCCCGACATACACCCTGATTTAACCGTGACAGGAACCATTATTTGTACTGTAATTGTGTTCACCACCGTGAGAGTCGAAACGCAACTTCCAAAGCGAGTGATTGCATTTGAGCATCATCCGCACACATGCATTATTATTTCATTGATTTTATTATTTAATTTTATGTTATTTATACGCCTAAAATACTGCGTAAAGTTCCACTGGGAAATTAGCCTCAGTTTGATAACTTTCGACCACTTTTTTTATTGTCTGTCCTGCTTCAATACTTGATAATTTGTCACGAGACAGTCTACCCCGCTGGCGTAATTTAAACCATAAGCCTTGGCCAATTCAGTTTTTAAACTTGTCGAAACAAACCTGTCTCAATACTTTCTCCCTTTTCCCACTTTATAGTAATAATTTTTGGGTCCAAACTAAGCCACTGAAGATTCCATATGCTTCTATTCAAAGTATTCAATATTACAATTAATCATAGACAACACAGAAACTGTCGGAAAACGATGAAACCTTAACTTGGCTTTTATATTTCTTCTTTTATGGATTGGAAAAAAATCATCGAATCTTAAAATGATTTTTAGAATATGATGGGGAAAAAGCACTAAGTTTCGATGATATATCATGAAGTGGATATTTAAATTATTCTCTTTCTTTTTACGAAATTTCATTTTCGAAGGAAACTTGGAAGAAATCTAGAATTCATTCTAAGACTGTCCTTTTTATAGACTGAGGACTGTTACGGAAGTGTGCTTCTCATATCAGTAATGAGAAGTAAAAGACTGCCAAACCTCTCGAGTTTACGTACAGTTTACTAGGTAAAACAACTTCTCTGACAAGAGCGCCAAAAATCATGAAAAAATACCCTAAATTTCATTTTACAGTTTCTGAAAAACAAACAACAGTTTGCAAAACAGTACTTATGAACACTAGCTCCAATGGATTTCACCCATCATACTCAAAAATAGGAACTGTAATACACATCTTCAAAGTTATTCTTCTGTCAGCTGCCTGCAGATTCAGTATTGACACTTTAAATTGATTTTGCGCATGATTTAAACTTAAAATACTTAAAATTGAAGTAAGGAATAATTTTTGGTGAATTCTGGGCCTTTTGAAAGAAACTTAAAGCGTTGTAGATAGGTAAAAAGATGATTAAGTTCGTTTAGAAAACTCTCTAGATGGCAGAAGTTTGCTGCGAAACCGCTTTGTCAAACTTTGGAACTTTAAGATCAGCCTTAAAAATCAAAACCACCATCTCAAGCGCCTTTTTTTTAAAATCTCATATGTAAGTAGCCAATTCTTACGATAAATATGAATCTTTTTCGATATTCTCATACATTTCCCCTTAATTAAAACATAGACCAGTCGCGCAGTTATGTGTGGGTGTCCTGTGGCTCATTGCTTGAGCGCGCTTAAGTTATCAAAATAAAAACAAAATCTCTGAAACTGTTTGTAAAACCCCACTACATGATATTTAAGTGTTTATTAGTTGACTAGTACGTATGTTGTTTTTTAAGTGACCACTTATAAAATAATCATCTTTACATACTTAAATTTGGAGGTTTTAATGTTTGAAACCCACGTGCTTAAAGAATGAATTGCAATAAATAAACCTGACTTAATCTGTAGAGCTACCAAGTTTTGATCTTGGTCTCCACTGCTAAGACATGTTCACAAAACCGTGTCTTCTCTATACAAAGAAACGCCGGTTTAAGCAATGCTTTTTTGTTTGTTGTTTGTTTCTACAATAAAGCTTGTGTTGGTGGTTTTACCTTCATAAAGTGATTAAAAGTATGAAGTCTCCAACAGTTTACAATTTTAATAGCTCCAGGCAACTGACGAAATGTAAAATTATTACTTTAGTGTTCTTTTGTCTGGGAGTACGGGGGGTTCAAGGGTAGACCTCATACTAAGAAACTGTTATTATACTGATCACAAATATTTCAATCGCATTTATATAGGTACGTCAGCCTTAATACGCTTTTACTGAATACTGGGACAGCGATTTTAATCCATTTCAAGGTGATCATTTGAAAAGGAAAAAAGCCGAGCTCTCTTTACAAATAGAGGCTACCAACCATTTTTTTCGTCAGTTGAGAATCAGATGCATATATAAGTGCTTTTGCTAATTGCATTCTTCTTAGAATCGCTGTTGGAGTTGAACAAATTTTTGAATTTAAAAGTCATTATGTTGCAAGTGTAATGATTGAGCATCTCGTGTCCTTAAGACAAATTATTAATAGGTCATACAAAGCAAACTGACATGGCATTTGAATGGTGAATGAAAAAAATCTGCCAAGGTAAAATTCCAACTTGAAATTTCATTTCTTGTGAAAGTTGAGTGAAGAGTTTTCTTTTGACTTAAGGGTCGATTAGAACCACTTTGACAAGAACAATTAACAGAACTATGGGTGAAAGTACCGCTAAAGAAGTTTCATTTGAGTTATTTTTTATCCATGGTTGTTCGTATGCAATCTCGTGAATTAATCGCCAATAATGAAGTGAGACCAAATATTAAAGAATTTACCGAAACTTCTACAATATTAGATAAGAAGTGAAAGTCATAGGAATAGATTAGAGTAGATGTTCATTAATTAAAAGTGAGATTTTAATGTCTTTATTGTTTAATAAATTCTCCTCGTCGGTTCCAGACATGCCGATTGAAAGAAGCATAGAGAAGCCGAGATGTGTCTCGATAACAAGTAACACGCTATCAACCGTATCTGTAAGAACTATACGATTGGGCCAGGTTCGAATTTACCATTTGGATTTACCGAACAGATAGAAATAGTAATTCTCCTTGGTGTGGCCCAGTGACATGTGGTTAAACACATGTTATGGTCAAACTTCGAAGAATTTAAGCTCTGAACACAGTTTTTATCACAATGGGTTAGAAAAAGCATCTAGTACACTGTTCTATCTTCCTTAGAAATCGGCGTTTCTTCGCAAAGTTCCGACGGAGATACTGTACATAATAGGGCCGTTTATACGAGAAAAAATAGGTCCCGTCTTACATAAGACGAGTCCTAAATATGAGGCAAACTATCCCGTATAAACGAGGCATTTCGTTTGAAATTTAGCTAAGACGCGTCTTATCTAAGAACAGCCCCTTACACCGGTTCTTGGCCAAGTCGCGTCTTAATGTGCAGTTTATACGAGATAGTTTGCGTCTTATTTAGAACGCGTCTAATTTTTCCCCGTATAAATAGCCCTAATGAGAAATTTGAAGTTCATTCTCGCCTTTCAACTACACTTAAGCTAAGGGCAAAGTTTAGGAGAGACCCAAGCTGTCTTTTGATCTGGAATATCTAGAAGTAGACTTCATCGTAATTGTTAGACCTGGTTCTGTACTTCCAAACAGCTTTTGAGGATAACTCAGCTCTCTACAATTCTTTACCCAGTCGCACTGGTTAATGGATGGCAGAGAGCGGTGGAAATAGTTCGAAGTTATGTTTTGGTAAAAGAACTGAAGAAGTAATCACAATACTCTAAAACCAACTCACCGATCGTGCAATAAGATGTCATGTTTCCTTGTCAGTAAGCCATGATAATAACGGCTTCCAGCAAAGAGCAAAAATTGTGTTGTTTGTTAATAATGATCGCTAAGTGAATAGAACACCAACAGTTCTTTTGTTTAAAACTATCCTTCGTTTAAACGGCTTCAACTGCTCGCCCAAGACACTGAATTCTCCATCTGTTTCAACACAGTATTATTAAAATTTCAAGAACATCTGCTTCTCTGAAGACATAACTTTAGCTGATTATCTATCCACTCCAATTAGATCAATTTAATGGAAGAGTATTTTTGAATGTATTTTCTTTTCATCCTGATCAATGCTTCTGTTTACTCTGATGTATTTTGCTTTTGTCAACATGATGAATGCTTCCGTTTACTTAATAATTTCAAAAGTAAACGGTGCCCTCGATTCAATTACGGACCCGGCCGGATAGACAGCAGATCACAAAGCCATTGTGTCATCTTTGTTGTGCAAATGGAACTCGGGACTATTGACTTTCATCTCTAAGTTTTCCAAGTCAAGTCAGTCAAGGATAGACAAAAAAAGATCTACCATATTTATCTCGATAGACGATACTTTTTCATGTTAATAATAGGTGATTTTTTCTATGTATTGAACTGATGGATTGAAAAAGATGAGTTTCCACCTCCGTAAACTTTACAGTTTGC